CAAATACATCTGTTGCTGAGCATATCTGAGCAGTTATGAATGCCCAAGGGCTTTTTAGTTCCCAGGCTACACTCGAGTCTAGGCTCTGTGAAGCTAAGCTTTTCCTATAGTCCCATAGGGTGTGGCTTTGTGAACTTCCTTTCCCTCTATTTTCTCATAGATTATTTCTTTGAACCCCTATTACTAAGAGACTCTCGTACACCATTAAGGAGTTTGAACTTTAATATGAAAATAATTGAAAATCATAAAAGACATTCATGCCGAAACCGGTTTGGCTCAGTGGATAGAGCGTCGGCTTGCGGACTGAAGGGTCCCGGGTTCGATTCTGGTCAAGAGCATGTACCTGGGTTGCAGGCACATCCCCAGTGGGAGATGTGCAGGAAGCAGCTGATCGATGTTTCTCTCTCATCGATGTTTCTAGCTCTCTATCTCTCTCCCTTTCTCTCTGTAAAAAATCAATAAAATATATTTTAAAAAAAGACATTCATATTTTCGTTTTAGAAAGAGGACTCTGGGACCAGTGTGAAAAATAATTGTGGAAAATAAATTGAAAATGGACTTAGAGGTAGGGATTATACTTTGAAAACTGTTGTTTGAAACCAGTGAGAGATGATGATGGCCTGAACCAAGCTAGTGAGAATGGAGAAAAGTGGATGAATGAAAAGCATTCTATTTCCCTTAGATGCAATGGATAAGGGAGCCGGAAAAGTCAACTTTGATTCTTAGATTCCTGGTCTGGGCAACCAGTGGATGGTGGTGCCTTTCATTGGGAAAGATGATGTATAAAGAGGACCAACTCCTTTTTGAGGAAGAGTGTTAGGTACCAATGAACTTCCAGGTAAAGATGTACAGTAGGCAATGTCTGGATCTCACATAAGAGCACTGGCGCTATAACTGTGTATAAGGACTTGCTATCATGATTTTCAGAGATATCTGGGCAGCAGTTTCTTGTTTTATTCCCACAGCCCTAAATTAAGGAACATACTTGAACTAGGCCATGTTAGCACAGGGAAGCTGAGAATAAAGGGTTTATTCATATCTGAATATCCTCTGTACTGCAACTTAGATTTCATGTTGTGCATTGTATGACATGAGATTAATGAGGTACCTTGCCTCTTGGCTGATATTGCATCTAAGTGGTGTCTCTGTTGTATTTTGGTTAATCTGAACATTCTATTGGCATTTGTCAATCTGGAGGTTATACAGGGTGATATCAATAGATTGGTAGTAATCGAGCCACTGGTGTGCATAAAATCACTCTGGGAGAATAAATTAAGAGAAGAAACCATAGAATTCTAGGAAATACTAATATCCAAGACAGGGGTGGGGAACCTGTTTTCTGCCATGGGCCATGTGGATATTCATAACATCATTCTCAGCCATACAAAATTATCAACTTAAAAATTAGCCTGCTATATTTGGTCAAACATTTAATTAACTCACCCCTAATGCCTTGGCAGGGCCAGATATTTCCCACCCCTGATTTAAGGAGTAGGTGGACAAGAGAAAAGTCCAAGAGAATAAATGAATGATGGTAAAAACTGGGGGATTGAATAACTAGAAAGGTAGATTGCGCAATACTAGTATTTGTATTTCATCATTAAACTGAGATAGATATTTCAGAATGATATAGTTTTCTTGTTACACATGAATATATGCTCATGGTTAAATAGGTGAATTTTCTACAAGATTTATAACAAAGGTTCAGAAAAAGATGGGTTTCCTAGTTTTCAACTAAAATTTGCTGATAATTAAGTCTACCTAGAAAGTAATAAAAGGCAGAGTGAGTAATGATTGCAAAGAGTTGTCTTTTTCTACTGCCTATTTAAAACACTTACTCAATACTTACTATGTGCCAGGCATTGTGCTTTATCAGCAATATCTCCTTTAGATATTAGAAAGACCTCATGAGGAAAGCACTTGTATTTTCTTCTTTTCCTGATGTAAAAACAACTGAAGATTAGAGAGAGGAAGGGGCTAAGTCCTGTGAGGACAAAGATGCAAACTGAGGGCTTTTTACTTCAGAGGCAAAGGGTTGACTATTGCTTGATAATAATATGAAAGCATTACTTATGATAATAAAAGATTAAGTTCTCCCCGGTGAGGTTGGGACGGCCCCGGTGAGGTTGAAACAGCCCTGGTGAGGTCGAGACTGCACCAGTGAGGTTGGGACGGCCCTGGTGAGGTTGAAATGGCCCCGGTGAGGTCGGGATGGCCCCGGTGAAGTCGAGACGGCCCCGGTGAGGTCGAAATGGCCCAGGTGAGGTCGGGACGGCCCCGGTGAGGTTGAGACGGCCCCGGTGAGGTTGAGACGGCCCCGGTAAGGTTGAAACGGCCCCGGTGAGGTTGAGATGGCCCCAGTGAGGTTGAGACGGCCCCGGTGAAGCCAAAAGGGCCCCGGTGAGGTCGAGACGGCCCTGGTGAGGTCAGAACAGCCCTGGTGAGGTCAGGATGGCCCCGGTGAGGTCGGGACGACCCCAGTGAGGTTGAAACGGCCCCAGTGAGGTTGGGACAGCCCCAGTGCGGTTGAAACGGCCCTGGTGAAGTTGGAATGGCCCTGGGGAGGTTGAGACGGCCCCGGTGAGGTCGAGACGGCCCCAGTGAGGTTGAAATGGCCCCGGTGAGGTAGGGATAGCCCCGGTTGCATATAGGAGTGACCAATGGACACAAGACACTGGTGGGTGGGGGAGGCTGGGGGAATGTCAAGGGTGGGGGGAAAGGAGACATATGTAATACTCTTTGTAATACTTCAAGAAATAAAAATTAATTTTAAAAAAAGATTAAGTTTATCAGGCATTTATTAATGTAATTTTCAATGAAGAAGATTTTGTAGTCACAGAAAACCATTTCACACTCATACCAACACTTACAGGTGTGCTACAATTTTGAAAGTACATCTTGAAGTACTTAAGAACAATATGTATTTGAATTTTGGTTTTTCCATTAAAAAAGAAATGATTCTGTTTTTCAGAAAGCTAGCTCCTGAATTTAGTTTATATCTGAGCTTATAGAACCAAAAATTGTTTTACCTCTGCTAACTTGCTAGGTTTTGGCATAAAATTATATATTGGGGCAAGACCATCTCTCTAGGCATAGGTATGTAGAAAACTATTTGGGTTTTTAAAAAGAAATTTACAGAATACTAGGTATGGGTAATAGTTGCACCTTAAGAAAAGATTGTCTTTTCAAATCCTTATAAGTATTGTTTTTAATTAATGAATTCCAATTGCATTTCCTCAACTTTATATAACAGAGATATAAAAGACTCTAAGAAAGTTGATTTTGAGTCAATCATGCCCAAGTTATTAATAATAAAAAATTAGCCCAATTGAGTGTTGACCTGTGAACCAGAAGGTCACGGTTCGATTCCCTATCAGGGCACATGCCTGGGTTGCAGGCTTCATCCCCAGTCCCTGCAGGAGGTAGCTGATCAATGATTCTCTGTCAACATTGATGTTTCTATCTCTCTCTCTGTCTCCCTTCCTCTCTGAGATCAATACAAATATATTTAAAAAAACCTAAATTTCAAAAGGAAAATTAGGGCAGGAACTTGATCCTAGAATACTGGACCAATTATTAGAAGATCATTTTTAAAAGCTGCTTGGGGCTTTAAGAATAATGTTTGCGGGGCGGCAGGGGGGTGGAATCAGTTGAGGAAAAGGAGACATATGTAAAACTGTAAACAATAATGAAAAAAAGAATAATGTCTGCCACATATTTCACCTATGCTTATTTTTTTTTGTTAAGTTCACAGCTTTTAATACATAAACCTTATACCATAGGAGCTGTCGAAGTGCCCAGAAGTTGTGTAATACCCATAAATGACCCAAATTACAGTTCTAGAAGTTAGAACAGTACCTCATCTCACTCATCCTCATCTGCCACCTTCATGCATCCTTGTTTGCTTCTCAGAATAAAAGAAGAAATTATTTAGTTTACAAAGTAATTGTGGTACAAGTCTTTATTTTACAGTCAACCATTGCCATCTGCCACCCACTGACAATATCATAGTTCTGTAAACCTTCAGTTGTCTGAAGGTGTCTATTTCTTCATCTCCTACCTCTACCTTGGTTCAGGTTTTCACTCTACCTCTCTCTGCTTCCTACTCAGTAGCTGTAAAGTGTCTGGGGCAAAAGCATGCTCACCTGAATCTTCGGAGAAGCTCAGATGATTTTTATCTTTATTTTGCCTCACGTGTATTTGGCACTGCAGACCTAATGAAGACTTTTACATCGGTTCCTTATTTGAGCGTCAGAACTCTGCTTTTAGTAGGATACTCATTCATTCAACAACTATTTATGGAACATCTGCTTTGTGCCAATCACTCTCCTAGGCACTCGAAATACAGCAGGGAACAAAACGAAGGGGGAGAGGGCATTCCAGAGCTTCTGAAACTTTCATTTTATAGGGGAGATGGACATGAGGTGAAAGGGGAGGGGAGGTCGTGTAGCGCCAGGTCGGTGAACCCAGGGATTTTGGCTTTTACTTGGGTTGCAATGGAAAGCCGGCGGAGGGACTGGCAGTTTTATCTGTCATTTTACAAATGGCAGAAGTAGTGGCTACTTCGCAGTAAGTGCACCCCTATGGAGGAACTGCTATTTAGGTGCTCAAGGGGGTAGAAAACTAAAAGGAGGTAGGCGTTGATTTGGGGACACTAGCCCAGAAATTCGAGAGAGCGAAATGAAGACAAATGAAGATGAATCCAAAAGGAAGCAAACTTGTTTACAACGCAATACGCAAAAAGATACGCCAAGGAATAGCTGGTGCTCCGTTCAGACTCTTGTAACCGAAAAGGTAGCAAATGTAGGTGAGGCAAGGGGAGCGCTAAACCTGCTCGGATGCTAGAGCCCCGGCCCGGAACCAAGTCGGCCCTTAGCGTGGCCACGCCCCTGACCACGCCCCGGCCACGCCCTGCCCGCTGCAGCCCGGGTTGGCTACGGCGGGGGCGGTGGCCACGGTGCCCGGAAGTGCCGCTGACGTGTCCCCGCCGCGCTCGGAATTGTGGGCCACTTGGCTAATGGCGTCGGCGAATCTGTGGGGTTCGGGGAGCCGGCGCTGAAGCTTGTGACGACCGGTGTGTCTGGGCCCCGCGGCAGCGGGAGGGACCTGCCCGCTTAGTGGGCTCCTCGGCCGGAGCCGGCGGGGCCTAGCGGGGAGGGCGACTGCAGGGGCAACGCGGAGAGGAGCCGGGGGAGTTGCGAGGAGGCTGCCGGAGGCACTCGGGCTCGCTCCGGTGGGCAGTCCAGGCCCCGTGGAGTCCCCGCGGAGCCCCAGAGGCGGGCTGCGGGAGGGCCGGAGGTGGCTGGGGGCAGTTGCCTGTCGCCCCCGGGAGCTGACAGTGCCGGAGTTCGTTTGCGCCGCTCGGAAATTGGCTCGGCACTTGGTGGATCATGTCCAGCACCAACAGCCCCGAAGCGGTCAAGAAGCTGCTGGAGAACATGCAGGGCGACCTGAGGGCCCTGTCCCTGGAGTGCAAGAAGAAATTCCCACCTGTCAAGGAGGTAAGCCTCGGTGGCGCCGCTCCTCAGACCCGGTCCAGTTTTCCCTTGGCCTTGCCCGGTCCGGTTCCACTAACGCGTCTGATCGTTTCCCGGGGAGAGGTCTGCGGCGCTCTGATTTCCTCCGCTCCGGTGCTCGGGAACGAGGAATGAAGTTCGCGGTGTGAGCAGAGTCAGCCCTTTCTGGCCTCGCCGTTTCTGGCCTTTTCCACGCTCGGAAAAGCCAAGCCAGAGTTGAAAAAAATTTTTGTTTGTTGCTTCTAAAAGCTCGCATTCATCGTGTGGTGAAATCCGTGCTCCTCACCTTTATAGTATAGGTCACTCCGTTGGAAGTAGCTTTTCTTGTCATGTTGTCATGCAGCTGAACTCTGTGTCAACCGTGAAGTATTGCCCAGATCCACCTAACTTAGGACGTGTATTGACGACACACAGTAACCATGTTCAACCTTGTTATGAGCCAGACGAAAGTGGGAAGTTTGTGCTAGGAATACAGCTTAACCTCTCTGAACTTCTGTTTTACTTCAGATGTAAGAGAGGGTTAAAGGGTGCATTTATTAGATGACGATGGGAAAGTTGTCAGAGCAGAAAAGGGTATTATTAAAGAGGCTCATATAATTAAATACGTCTATACAAATTGAATTCTCTAAATACTTAATTGACATTTTTAACATTTGTTCATTATTGGCTCTTTCTCTTAAGGTGCCATTCAATTTCTCTTAAACCTTTTTAAAAGGCTGCTTAATTTATTTCCTCATTTCTGGAATAAGATATTTCAGTGCTATTTTTGTCAAAGCAATTATTTTTGTTGTTGTTTTTTAAATATATCTTTATTGATTTGGAATATTTGTATGAAAAAAATTTTTTGTTTAAAAAATTTAAAGCTTTATAAAATTACTTCCATGTAATTGATATTTAGTGACCTTCAGAGGCAGTAACCTCTGAAACTTTGTTTATGTATTTAATGACTAAAACCTTTTTAGTCATTTCCTATTTGCAGGCACCACTCTGTAGACACAGATGAGGGGATCTAATGGACATGGAAATGTGATCAAAGTTTGTAATTCTTTTTTTTAACATATTTTTATTGATTTCAGAGAGGAAGAGAGAGGGAGAGATTAAAACATCAATGATGAGAATCATTGGTTGGCTGCCTCCTGCACGCCCCCTACTGGGGATGGAGCCCGTAACCTGGGCATGTGCCCTTAACCACAGTATCGAACTCGGGACCCTTCAGTCCTCATGTTGATGTTCTATTCACTGAGTCAAACCAGCGAGGGCATAAAGTTTGTAATTCTTGAGTTGAATGCTTGTTTATATGATGAAAAGGTAGTCAGCAGAAAAAGGTGGTGGTGATGGTGGGGGTCATTCTGGGAAGAGGAAACAGAAAATGTTTGTGTTCCATGTAAAATAAATTTCATGGGAGCCATTAAAACTTTTAAAGCTATTAAAATAGAGGGAGTGTATGATCAAATTCATTTAGTAACATTACTGTAACAGTATTAGTGGGAAGAATTAGGATTGAGAATGAGGCAGAGAGCAGATTTTAAAAAGTGATGATTGCTTGTACTGAGGGAACAGTGGAGGTAGACAGGAAGTTGCTTGCATTGTGGTAAACATGGGTAAAAGAGAGAGTATGGATTAAAAAGAGATTTAACAGATATAATTACCAGGGCATAGTGACCTTTGCTTATGTAGAGAGAGAAATCTATGATGCCTCTCAGATTTCTAGCTTGGGAAACAGAGTAACTAAAAGAAGGCATATAGGAGGAAATGTTTTGGTGGAAAATGAGTAGTCACAAATATATTAATTAAGTATAAGATTTATGTGTGACATTCATGTGGAACTGACCAGTAGGTATTTGAAAATGGTGGTTTGGTACTTAAGAAGGAGGCCTAGCCGAAACCAGTTTGGCTCAGTGGATAGAGCGTCGGCCTGTGGACTGAGAGGTCCCAGGTTCGATTCCGGTCAAGGGCATGTACCTTGGTTGCCGGCACATCCTCAGTGGGGAGTGTGCAGGAGGCAGCTGGTCGATGTTTCTCTCTCATCGATGTTTCTAACTCTATCTCTCGCCTTTCCTCTCTGTAAAAACTCAATAAAATATATTTTAAAAAAAAAGGAGGCCTAGAATTTCAGATTTAGGAGTATCAGTTTATACGTGATAGTAGAAGCCATAAGAGTAGATAAGATGGGCCAGGAAGAGTGTGTAAGTG